TTTTGTTAATTTTCCTAACGTAAATAAGATGTTGCGAGCGAGAAGTTCATTAGGTAGGAAAAGTAGGAGTTTCTCCTAGGAGACTTTAAAAAAGTTGATCCATCTAGTGGACTTTTCTAAGCTAAACTTTCTTGGGCAAAATTATCTCTTTAATGCATAATTTCTGAGTTTTGAACATCATTTAGGGGATAAACAGTATATCCAGCAGGGAAATTACAAATTAGCAAACATACTGTTATGAGAAGACCACGACAAACCTTTTTACTCAAGCCTACTTTGTTACAAATTTCACATTTTGGACAATTGATAATAAACTCGGCTTTCTATTTGTAATTTATATATCTATCCAAATTCGTGTGCCATCGGAATATTTATTTCTATAATGTATAAAACTCACGTGATCCGTCGCATTCACACATTGTGGATATTTCGCCAGCAGATGTCGAACAGTGTTCGTTTGTCCATGTAGCAAAGCTTTGTGCAGTGGAGTCATGCCTACTTTTGAACAGCTGAGGTAATTTGATTTTTGAATAATCGAAAAAAAGTTTGTGTGCTGGTCAAGCAAAATGTGTAACTTTGAGTATGAATTATACAACGCAAACAGATAGCGATATAATTCTTCTACTCTTTTTAACTACAGTTTTCTTCAGAATATATGGTACTCATAAGATATGCATTTTGCTTGCGTTATTTATTATGTCATCGTTACCATAGGTATCTCTTGCTAATGCAAGCTGTTGACGATCGATGAGAGACTTCACTCGTCGGACGTCTCCTTCCTCGACGGCTTTATGGATAGCATCAATCTTCGACTGAAAGACTTAAGACGAGATAAAAATACGTAGATAATTGGAAAATCTAGCGGAGAACAAACAAAAACGTTTCAAAAAACAAAATGCTCTCAAACCCCAAAATTTTAGGAAGACTTGCAGGTGGAAAGCTATTCTAAAATTGTCAAGCAAACGGTTTTCGTACCTGGTAAACCGTGAGGCCGCGCAGAAATTCCTTGCTAGCTGCATTCACAGCAGTCTTTTCCCTAAAAAACTTCTCTAAATTAATGTGAAATGTAGTTTTTGTCTACGTACTTCAATAAATGTCCACGTCCATCGAGTACTAGCTGCTCCAGTTTTGCTACATCTCCGGAAGCAATCCATTCGTCAATAACATGCTCAGCAGGAGCGTCTAAATAAATGCAGTTTTTTTTTGAGATGATAATAGCACTGGAAGGTTAAATAGTTTTGTTACATATAGATTCATTTTGAAATGTTTGGTCAACTTTTCTTAATTTCTTTCACAAATTAAGAGCACTCATTACTTTCTGCAGTAGTCATTCGTTGCCAAATGGAAGAAGGAAACTTCAAAGGAATTCTCTAGAACTGAGATTTTTCAAGGAACGTTTCAATCTATCTGAATGTCAAACATTCAACCAAAAAGTGCCGCAAGTGCAGCTTAGTACCCATAAGAAGGCGGGAAGAGGAGGAGGGAAGAGAGAAAAGAGGAGGGAGGAGGAAAGAGAGAGGAGGACACCTTTGAGTGAGTGGGCTTCAGATTCCTTTAGGTAGGCATTTCATGAGCGATATCAACACAACTCACCGTGTCGTTCGATAAAATGATTTATAAAATCTTTGGAAGACATGAAGTAGAACTTGGCGAAGGGAGGATAATCCTCACACATCGATCATCACCTATTGAAAA